AGCACAATGCAGGGGAGAGCTGGGGTTTTGCAGGTCCCCCCTGGCTCTCGTCGTCTTCTGCCATGCCTCAATTCAGCAAGGTGGTTTAACACTTGGGGATGGATGTGTTGGGGCACTGAGATTAGCGTGTCCCCAGAGTCCTGGGGTGATGAGGAGGGGGCATCCAGGCGCTATCCTGGCCACTGAGCTGGCACAGCAGTGGGGGAGCCGCGCTGGCGTGGCGGCTGCTCTAGCAGCAGCCGAGGCGTGTGCTTGCTTGCATGCCCTGCTGCCCCTCGCCACGTGCCGCCCTGGCAGTGGCTCCCAGCCACCACAGGCATTTTAATGAGAACTGCGCAGAGTCTGGCCCCCTTGGCTGCCAGGAGCTTTAGGGGGGCAGAGGGTCTCCAGCACAAGCACAGGCACAAAATGCTCTGATGGGGCCATGGGCTGCTGCAAGAGCTCCAGCACCTGCGCAGGGAATGGGTCCCTAAGCAGCTCTGGCTGCTGCTCTTTAACACATTATAGGAACAGTGAGGGTGGGCTATAAATCACCTCTTTAATACCCCTGTAGGTCTCCTGCCAGCTCCTGGTGTGAGAGCTGGGGGTGAGAAGGTGGGCTGCAGCAGCTGCTGGTCCAGGGAGGGTTTGCAGCTCCAGCTGTGCCTGTTTTCCTTCTCCTTGCTGTCACAGACTGATGGCAGCAGGGTGACATGTCACCTCCTCTTCTCTGTTTTCTGCTGGGGGGCTTTGGGTCAGATGTGCTCCACCATGCGCATGGGAGGCCGGCAAACAGGACACGTCACTACTGCTTGGTGTGTCACTGGGGGGCCACTTAGGGGACTCATGGTGCTGGGGGTGTTCAAGAGACATGTGGCTCTCCTGAAGAGCCATTTTAGGGTGAGGCAGGTGCCCTGGGCAGCCCTTTCATGTCTTCTTACAGTCACCGGGGTGCAGCATCGAGGCCAGAGCTGTCGGGTTGTTTCAAGGGACTCTGAAGGAGGTGACTCCATGATGCTGCAGATCAATGTGCAGTCTGCAGCCATCAGAGCGAGACATGAGAGGGTGTTCAAGTCCCATCATTTCCCTTTCTCCACTTTATACCTCCAGCCTAGGAAGACGGCCTCAGTTCAGGGAGGGATGCAGGGAGCAGGAGGGAGCTGGGATAGCCCTGCTTTAATGTGTCCCACACCTCCCTTTTGTCCCCAGCAGCATGTCCCCTAATGTCCCATGCAGCTCAAGAGATTATAAACCCCAAAACTGGGGCTTACCTCCAAGAGGAAACAATGCCACACCATGTCCCTAGACAGTACTTTGTCATCTTCTGTGTCATCCTGTCTGCACCACCATGGATGCCCTGCCTTGACAGAGAGGGGAGCAGGGCAACTTGCAAGTGATGGGCGATGCCTGAGACGTTGTCGGTGTCCCAGCCACAAGTTAGATGTCCCCAGAGACCACCTAAAGGTGACAGTCAAGGCAGCAGAGGAGTCCCCAGGTGTGGCAGGGTCCCAGCTCTGTAATCTGACTCCTCACTCCTTCTACTTTCTGATCTCCTTCCATGCCCATCAGCCCAGCACCAGCACCGGAGCTTTTTGTTCATTTTGGTTATAGCCATTTCAGGGTCTTACACAGCTGCTGGTGCACAGAGAGACTGGCAAAGTGGCTCCTCCCTGTGGAGTTTGCTGCTCAAGGGAAAAAGTCACAGGGCTCCCCAACAGTTGCAGCAGTGCTGATACCACAGGGGCTTATTCAGAGATACTGGCGTCTCCACCTGGGCTGATGGATGGGCTCAGGAAGGATTCCCAGGGTGGCCACCTTCCCACTGGGGTGTCTGTTCTCCCAACAAACCCAGTTTCACTAATGTTCAGCTGGAAAATGTGGAGAGGGGAGGGCCTGGCAAAGATAAAGGCAGAGGGAGAAGTTGTGGGGTTTTTCTCCTCCTCTGCCTCCAAGGCTGTGCAGCGTAGGGCTGGGGGCTGGCCTGGAGGGGTCTGTGCAGGGTACAGCAGGAGGTGGAAGGAAGAGTGACCACCCTGTGAGCAAAGGCTAAGATGGGGGAAGAAATGAGGTCTCAGTTGTACTCCTCTGGTACTAAGTTGCTGCAACACCCCACACCTCAGTTTTCCTCTTTCCTCTGAGGCATGACAGCACTCACCTTCCTCCCCAGAAGCTGTGTTTCTTTTCAGCCACACCTTGAGCTGGACATTGCTACGGGTTTTTATGACTCTGGGGGCATTGCTGAATGAGCCTCCCAAAGTTGGAGGGTGATTTTAAACCCCCAGCCCTCCCAGAGGCCTGCCTGGTGCTGGCTCTTGACTCTTCCTTCCTCCATCTTTAGCACAGACAGTGAAGTGTCCCCACTTCTGGCCTGGTTCCCTGTGCCCAGACATCCCCCCCTCTCCTTCTGGGCCCCACCTCTGTGTCAGGTAGTTGCAAGAGGCAGGAAGACACTGAGTTTTCCAGGGAATGGTTTTGAGAGCTCTCAGGAGTGTTAGAGCCATGAGCAGCACACCGGGCCATGCTGCGCAGGAACCAGCTACTCCCCAGCAAGTCCTTGCCAGGCTCAAGGGGAGCACCAAGGAGAAACCAGAGATCCCCAAGCACCCACTCCACGTCAGATACAATTCCTTCCTGAGCTTAATTCTCCACATGCCAAGAGAAACAGCACTGCTAACACCAGCACTGTGAATAAAAGAGGAAAGACTGGAAAGACCTAGTGCTGTCCTGGCTCCTCACACCGTGGAGCTCTGCTGGGCTCTCCCAGCAAAAGCTGGGAGCCATGGCCCAGGGTATAGAGCGGGGGAAAGCCCAGGTATCAGCTGGAGCCCAGCCAGGGACATTCACTGCCTTTGGGATTGTTTTGAAGAGCTGCTTCACTTTCTAAAAATGAAAGGCATGCTAGAGCAGCTGGTGCAGGGTGGGGTGAGCGCCACTCTGAGGTTGGGATGGTGTCAGGTACCGGGCCATCTCTAGGGTTTCCCCTGAGCCTGGGCTGCCCTCAGCAGCTGAGTGTGAGGGAAATGAGGACAGGCAGGATGGGAACATGCCCAGGCTCCCAGACAAGGGTTGAGGTTTTGCTTGGGGCAAGCTTGGGGCATCATTTTCAGCACCAGTGTCCTCCGGTTGCTGGCAGCATGCTGGGGGAGGTACCGCAGCGGAGGGTGCTGCGAACATCCCTGCCTGCTTCACACCTTCCTCTGCCCCTGCCTGGACTTCGCCAGCCAGGGGTGGCAGAGGATCTGCTGCCGGGCAAGTGCTGGAGGAGAAGAGTGAGGAGGAGCAAGCACTCAGCGGTGTGCCCCAACCTGCTTTGGCTGTGAGATCGCTCTGCGCTCCCAGCTTTTAAAGAGTGATCGGAAGCCATATGTGGCCCTGGGTGGGTCTTGATGGGTACATGTGAGGATGAGAGGCTGGGGACAGGAGCAGATACCAATCCCAGGGGCTGTGCTTGTGTGCACTCTGCTCTCCAAAGATGCGCTGGATTCCTTCAGAAAAATTCCCATGTTTTGCATGAGTCCAGGTGTCAAATCTGCACCCTGCTCAACCCCTTGTGCTGCAGGCTTGCCTGGCAAGGTTTCTGCCTGAACATCCCCCAGCATCAGTGGCGTGTGTTCAAGTACAGGGCAAATCAGGAAGGTTGTATGTGTCCGTGCTTGGCTCTGGCTGGTGATTTATGTTCCTTGGCAATGGGGATGTGGCACAGGGACGAGCAGTAACCAGAGCTGTGCTGCACCTGTGGTGGGCCTCCTGCTTTCCCTCTGATTTAATGTCCCAGTTGAGAGGTGATGTCATTTTGAAGGGAGCCAGCAAAAAGGAAATGCAGGAGAAGATAAGGTGCATTAACTCTACCCCTCCCAGCTTGGCCGGGTTTTGAAGCTGGGAGCTGTGTTAGCTGCCAGCCAGGAAAACTTAAGAGAGGCAAGAAAAGAGATTGGTTGGAGAACACCTTCCTCTTGGGGCAGTGGGACCTGACACCAGGAGCTGCTGAGATGGAGGGTGCTGGAGGACCTTGGATGATCCCAGGTGGTACAAGCATGATTTTGTGTGCTGCTCTGCTTCTCCATCACCTTCACCTCCCAGACATGTGGGATGGGTTGTCTGCAGCACCAGTCATAATCCACCAGAGCCTGGTGCCACACCAGTAGCTCCAGGAGGGTCAGCAGAAATGCTGGCAAGGTGCTGGAGAAGGTAAATTGAGAAAGTACCAAGGCTGCCCTGTTTCTGAGGGGGAGAGGGACTAAATGGAAAGGTTCCTTAAAAGGTCTTGTTTAGCTATGCAGATGAGCCACAGATTCCCATGGTGCTGAGTCTAGAGACTTGGACTTTCAGAAGGATCTTGTGGAAGCATCCTGGTCCCTCTGACAGTCAAAGGCAGTCAAGCCCCAGAGTAATCTCTGCCCTTTGGGTGATGTCAAGCTGCACCTGCTCCTTCACATAATGGGGAAAACCTCAAGGGAGACTGGTTGGGCTGTGCAATGCCTGCAGGTACTGATGTGCTGGTCCAGTCCAATGTGGCAGAAATCATGGGCTTGGCAGGGCTGGGCAGAGGGGGCATCTCTCAGAAACCACAATGTGTAAATGTAGCCATTGCGGCAAGGTTTGGGCTGACCTTCCCCTACCCAGGGAGCTTTGTGCCTTGGTGGGCTTGCTTGTTGTCTTCCTCCCCTGGTGGGTTTTGATATCAAAAAGTGACCCTGCTTGTCCTCAGAGTAGTAGACAGCCAAGAAAAGGACTTTCTCTTCCTGTCGTTTGTCTGAATGAAGTTGCAAAGAGCAGGAAGGGGTGTGGGATGCCTGACATGCGTTAATATCCAGCTGCAGCAGGAGAAATCAGAGCTGGGTCTCCATTTCTTTCTCCATGTGTGGCACAGTCATCACAACTTGTCTGCACTGGTTAGTGATGGCTGGTGGTTTTTTGCTCCTCAAGGCTCTGTTCTCAGTGTTGCAGGGTTATCACTGCTTTGTCCTGAGCCTGGGCCTTGGCATTCCAGGTACTGATGGTCTCGGACTCACTGCTGCGAGTTCAATGTCCCTATTTTCTCCACAGGAGGCTTTGCCACCTTCTCGTCCTGCTTCCCAGGGCTCTGTGAGGGAAAGCCAGCTGCCATCCTGCCAATGAGCATCTCCCAGCCATGCTTGCCAGTGGCCAACGTTGGTCCCACACGCATCCTGCCGCATCTCTACCTGGGCTCCCAGAAAGATGTCCTAAACAAGGTATGGCCATGTCAAGGGCACACATGTGCCTTGTCCCATCTGGGACCCCAGCCATGCAGAGGGGTGAGGACATTAAGGACTCCTCTCCTGCCCAGTGGGAGGACCATGCATGGTCAGTTGGACCCTACCGGGAGGCTGAAGGCAGGGAGTGCATAGGCAGAGCCCTGTGGAACTGGGGAAGGTGGTCACTGGATGAGTTGGCTTACATTGATGAGCTCTGGGGTGGTCAAACTCTTCCCAAGTGCCCACAGCAAACTCAGGAGCAGGAGGAGCACAGCCAGGAAAACACCTGGGCTTGGAGAGGAAGTTACCACAGCTGGAGGGAAATGTGGGACAGGAGCCAGCTTTGCACCCACGCACTTTGCCAGCCAGGCTGCCAGATAGTGCCAGTTTCAGCAACCCTGTGATCCCTTTGGGAGCCAGAGAGAGTGGGAGCAAGCTGAAATATTCAGCCACGGCAGCATGGGGATGGGCAGCTCAGGCCAGCAGCAGGAGCTTGTTCAGGAGGCCCAAAAATGAGCAAAGTTTTGCTGTGGGGAGAGAGGAGAAAAGAGGGACAGTGCCCTTTGGAAGGTGCTAGAAGGGTTGTGCTGTGATATCATGCCAGAGAAGGAATTTTGTTTAAAGAAAAAACAACAGCAAGAAGAAAGAAAGAAAGAGGAATTGCAGTTAAAATGCTGCTGGGCGCCTGCCTACTGCAGGCAGGAGGGAGTCAGGCAGGCGTTCTCGCCCAGGGCAGGCGAGGGGGGAGAGGGACCACAATGCCAGAGGGGAGTTGGAGACAGAAAGAAGGGAGAGAGAAATTATATACAGGGAGTAGAAGGAAATGAAAGAGAAAAATGCCAAGAATGTGAGCCCGGGAGCTGGGCTGGCTCCACTGAGCCGAGGCCGGGCTCTGCAGAGCTTGCTGGGGTGGGCAGAAACTGGCTGCTGGAGATCCAGGGCTGAAATCCTGGTGCGGTCTCCTGAGGAGCCAATGTCAGGCAGGGAAATTGGTGGTTTCCTTCCCTCTTCATCTCTTTGGAGGGTTTTGCTCATCTTCTGGAGCTGTGTTTTCCGCCATCCCCATGATGTGGCCAGAAGACGCTCTATTCATAGGCACCAGAGTGGCATCAAGTGCAGAGGGCATGCGTGGATGTTGCTTGTCTTTTCCAGCACGTTGCAAAGGAGAGATCCCACACAGCAGCTCCACACACTCTGACACATGGAAGAACCCTTTTATCTCCATGTTTTCTCCTCCCGTTTAAGTCTGGGTCTTCCCTGGAATGGTGCAGACCAGGCTCTGAGGCCCAGCAGCTGGCACAGATGTTCCCCCATTTTTTTATAAGCAACCTGCCCTGGGTTGTACAAGTGATACCTAATCTGATGGGACAGGGAAAGACAGGGGTGAGATGAGCCATAAATTTGGTGTCAGCACCACATACAGATGAAGGTGGCTGTAGCCCTGGGAGGGAAGAAATAGAAATTGGTGTGGATGCAGCAGTACACGCCCAGCAAGGCAGTACCCTGATGGGTGGCCCATGGGTCGAACCTCACCACTTCATTGCAGTTTTTCATCTGATCCTATTTACCTAAGGTCTCCCTTGTGCCATTGCATTTTATTGAGTCAGAAATACGGGTAGTGATGGTGGCCATTGAGTGGCCACAGCAGAAAAAGTCACAGAAAACTAGTTCAGGTTTACTCCAGTGTCGGAAAGAGGGAAGAATTGGTTCCCCTCGCCACCTGTCTGTGTCCCAGCACAAGAGCTTATGTTCACAAACTAACAAAACTCTGAGAAGTTCCCCGTGCATTTCTAAGGGTTGTGGGAGGAAAGACATGGGTTGACATTGGTTAGCATAGGGTGCTACCAGTGATTTGCCCCACTCTGTTGGTGAGATGTCTCTTCTCTCCCTCAGCTGATACTTTCAGCCAGAGTTTTCGCTGACTTTCTTGTATTTTCCTATTCCTCTCATACTGGTATTCCTGGGTTTTCCCCTCTGGGATTCCCTTCCAGGTGTCTTTGGTCTTGCTGACTTTTACTTGGACCAAAGTAAAGATCTGCAGAGGATCAAACCTGTGCCATCTAAATTGACACAACCTTCTTAGCTTATCTCTGCTGTACTACCATCAATTAGACCAAGGCAGCAGTGGGAGACCCACAGGAGAAAATACTGGCATGGGAAAAGGCAAGAAGTGCATGGCAAGGCAGATCTTTAGTGCTCAGTGCTGACTGAACTCAGACAATCCATCACTTCTTTCCCACCAGGACTTGATGACACAGAATGGGATAAGCTATGTCCTCAATGCCAGCAACTCCTGTCCCAAACCAGACTTCATCTGTGATAGTCACTTCATGCGCATTCCTGTCAATGACAACTACTGTGAGAAGCTGCTTCCCTGGCTGGACAAGTCCATCGAATTCATTGGTGAGTTTTTGTTACAATGGTTGCAGACCCTCCATTTCTCAGCCTTCAAAACCTGAGCTCTTCTTCTGTCCTCCATGATCTTACTCCCAGCAACCCTTGTCCTTTCACACAAAGAGGTTGAGGGCTGGGGAGAGAGGCTAGAGTCATTTTGCTCACCGTCTGTGACTACATTGATGGTTTTCTCTCTGTTTCCTTTACCATGCTCCAGACAAGGCCAAGGTGTCTAGCTGCCAGGTGATTGTGCACTGCTTGGCTGGGATCTCCCGGTCAGCCACCATCGCCATTGCCTACATCATGAAGACCATGGGTATGTCGTCAGATGATGCTTACAGGTGAGTTTTCCGCAGGGGGCAGGGAGTGATTACACCAGTATGCTTCACTCCAGGGAAGGAAAGCAGGCTGAACCGAGAAGGAGAGGGTGGGATCTCCCTGAACGTCTGTCTTGCTTTGGCTGAGTCCCAGTGAAACCAAACCAAACCTCCTTTCATAAAGTGCGTGCAATGAGGAATGGTTAGGGGTGGTAAAATGGAGGGGGGAAGCAGTCCCACCTCTACCCCTGGGGCATCCTGAGGCTCCATGGTTCCCTAAGACCCCTTTCTTCAGAGAGTCTGGTCTGAAGGTCCTGGGAAATGCCTCTTCTCCCCAAAGACATTGAGAGAGTAGGGGTGACCCTCTGAAGGACCAAACACCAACTGGGACTGTCTGTACCTCTTGGCAGGTTTGTTAAGGACCGTCGCCCATCCATCTCGCCCAACTTCAACTTCCTGGGCCAGCTCCTGGAGTATGAGAGGAGCCTGAAGCTCCTTAAGGCCCTGAAGTCAAAGGGCGACCGGGGTGAGGGGGATACCCAGCAGGACCCAGCAGAAGTGGCTGAGGGTGGCCGGCACCCACCACCACCTACCTCAGAGAAGGCTGAGGAGGTGCCAAGAGGCACCAGCTCAGCATCCCCCCATGGTGACTCTGAGCGGCAAAGTGGGACCCCGAAGGTCCTGTCGCCCACCACCCTGCAGCAGGGGCTCAATGGCTTGCACCTTTCCTCCGAGCGCATCCAGGACACCAACCGGCTGAAACGTTCTTTCTCCCTGGACATCAAGTCTGCCTACTCCCCCGGCCTGCGGCAGGACCCCCCTGGACCTCCTGGCCCCGGGGATGCCCCTAAACTCTGCAAGCTAGACAGCCCCTCAGGTCTTGGTGGCCTCAGCCCCTTCTCCCCGGGGGCAGACAGCCCCGACCGGCCGAGTGGGCCTGATCTCCTGCTGGAGGCCAAGGTGAGGCAGCGGCGGAAGCACCGGCACCCGGCAGGCTCGCCAGCCCTTGGCCTCAGCCTCAACGTCAGTGGGGCCTGCGCCACACACAAGAGGCCCAGCGCCGAGGATGGGCTCGCACACACGCTCAGACAC